GAGCCACTCTCTAGGCAGAAAGTTGTGCCTTTTCCTCTTGCTTTCAAATTATAATTCAGAGCTGAAGTCTGATCATGTTTGCTTGGCTTTGAAAGAAAAGAACCAAAGCAGCAGCTTATAGACATTAATTAAAATACTCAGCGCTATAATAGCAACTAAGTACTAAGTTGCTCTTTGCATTGTTGTTCATGAAAATACTTGGAAATTCTAACAGGCAACTTTCAAATTACTGTACAGAATTCTTTTAAAATTACTGTGCTGAGTTTCTGACCTTATTTCTTCTTTAAAGAACTTCTTGCACATGGATGTCCCAATGCAGGCGTTGCATTTATCAAGTCCCAGGAAAGTCCGGCCAAAACTGTAGCTGGGTTTGATGTGAGGCACAGATGGAGAAGCTGTTGCTGCTGTGGAAGGTTTACAGCTCAGAGCCAAAACCAGGAGCAGCATCAACAGGTCTGCAACTCTGGAACAAAGGCAACATATCCAGCGCCCCATCTACAGTAGCGGAGAGTTCTGCTTTTGCAAAGTTATCCCTCTCTACACTTTCAGTCTCTTTTTGATGACTTCAGCCTGAAGTGGTGAGCCCCAAAACACGGCAAGACACGCCGGGTGCAGGAGACCCTGCCACAGTCCCATCCTGCCAGCTGGTCACTGGCTCTATCGGCTCGAGGTTTGGGTGGGAAAGATATGGTGTGGGGTGGGGAGAAGGAAATACATGGAGGATGCAGATAACTTGTGTTGCCATGGTTACCTTTCCTTTACTTGATGCAGCTGCTTTGGGCCCTGCTGACCCTCCCATCAGCCGACTTGGAAAACAGCACGAAGAAGTGCTCATCTGCACTTGGTGCAGACAAATGAAGGATATCCTGTCACAAAGGGCATATGCAGGACACTTAGTAAAAATGGATTTGGAAGGAGGAATAGTGTGGCAGAAATGCACATTTCACCAGAAGCTAGACCCTTGGCATTGTTTTATTCCTGGAGATTTGCGATGGTGCATGGCTTGACTTCTTGGATGCTTCCTTGGCTCAGACTCCCCTTCTCACAGAAGCACTGAAAAGGCTGTCAGGTGGAATCATTGCTGTTCTGTTTCCTGAAAATAGCACTGTTCAGCAGCGATGGCACCACAGTGTTTCATGCCACAGAAAGCAGGATGGCCTGAAGCTTTCCAAAACACCCAGCTGACATAACAGCTTGGCCTCCAAGACCCTCTTGGGAAATGGGGCTTTTCAGCAAGACTTGAGTGCTTCTGAATGCCTTTATCTGATGGGGCTGGCACTGGAAAGAAGCTAGAGAAATGGATGAGCATGTCAGAGGTTTCAAATCTGCTTAGAAATTGCTGCAATCACACCCAAGAGCTGTTCTCATTAAGTCAAAGACTTGAAAGTTACAGAAGCTGCTGGCTATCCATCCTGGCCTGGGTGCTGAGTGCAGGATCATGCCTGTCCTGGACTGGGAGCTCTGGGGTGCAGACTGCTGCTCAAGGCCTGGAAATCACACCTTGAAGGAGCATCCCTTGTGATACCCTGGCTCCAGGCAGCACAGCATGTCACATGCTGCTGTGGTGGCACCAGACTTGGCTCCTCTCCCATCCTCAGCTGTCATTTTTTGACTGATGCGTGAGGCTCTCCTGGGCTGTATCTTACCAGGGGAACAGTAAAGAAAAGACTGAGGTTTTAGAGACTTCTAATCCTCAGCTGGACTACTCCCACCATGTGGGCAAGTCATTTCCTAGTACATTTTTTAATGGGAAAAAAGTTCCACTGTAGCCACTCTTTATTATCCCCTCCAGCATCTAACCACAGCCTGATAAGTCAAAGGGATGTGAGAGCTGCAGGGATACACACTGGGATCTGTGACTGCCCCTTGCTTTCTGAAGAGTCTGCTGGAGGAGGGTGATCCTAACAGCACCATGCAGCCCTCTCAAGCACAGATGCTCAATTTAATTGTGGCAGTTGGGAGATCTGGGGTCTCTCCTCAGCTCCATACCCTAGTGGAGGTTGCTTTGTCTCCTGGTATCTCCCTACAAACCAAATGGAGACAGTGACATTTAGAGTTTGTCTACAGGGTGCAGCACAGACAGGGGAGGATAATGGGCCCTGCTGAGAGGGAAGGGGGATGAATGAATCCTGCCAGGACTCCAAAGGAGAGGGGCTAGTATGCCAGAGAGTGCATTGCTCTGCATTGTGCCATGGCCACATTTTGCCTTTTTCTCCAGTACAAAGCTCTTTGAAATACGCTGATGGGAAGAATCATACCAGAGCTAAACACCATTCATAGCTGCTTCCCACTTCCAGAAGTTTATCCCTGGTGTTTTCTATTGCTGGTACACTGCTCCTGTCCCCTCTGCAGGAATCAGCC